ATATCTGTCAACACAAATAGCATACACCACAAGTATACTCAAAATTGTAGACTGTTTAAATTCAGTGATTCTTATCAACAATGGGGAAATGGAAACTATTGCATGCATAACTTCATACTCGTTGAACAATTTAATAGCTATCTGAACTCAGTAACTTAGTGGTTAACACACTGATGTTTGAACTGAAGTGTACTAGATTCAAATCTCAATCTGAACATCAACACTGGGATATACAGGTGCATCCAAATGAATGAGTCGCATACAGAACGTAACATGGATTTTAGATTCCATTACTAGGTACCATTCAACTGTATTAAAGGATAATGAAATTCTTTCGTTTAAATTAGACTAAAAACTTCAACGGACGTCTAGGATGCAGATGGACTATCTAGACTTCGCAGATGATCTGGCTCTTCTAACGCATACTCAAAAAAAGAAGGAGAAGACAACTAGTGTAGCAGCAGCCTCAACAGCAGTTGGTCTCAATATACATAAAAAGAAAAGCAAGATTCTCCAATACAACACAGCATGCACACGAATCACATTTGATGGAGGAGCTTTGGAAGATGTAAAAACCTTTACATATCTGGACAGCATCATTGTTGAACACGGTGGATCTGATGCAGAAGTGAAGGCGAGGATCGGAAAGCAAGAGAGTAATTAATTAAGTAAAAACGTCGACATTATAATCGAACTAGTTTTCTAGTTTTCATTGTATACAAAAAGGCAGGCTTCCACTCAAGAACGACTGTATTTTCTCCACGAGTGTCTTCATCACCATGTTCTACCAACAAGTGTAAGATACAGACCTCTAGTCAACTACCCAATGGGATGGCAAATAGCTGAACAAAGTGGAAGAAAAATGGTACACCTAATGATAAATAATGCCTACTACAGGATCCACAAATACCAGCACCTTATAGAGGACCAAAAGAGGAATCTCCAAAGGATACTCATATTAGAGCATTTGGAAATCTTGACAACAGCCATCGAGATATTATGCAAACAATACAGAGAACAATGAAGAAACAACCTAAAGAAGAAACTAATCAAGATCTCAAAATCATTCATGAAAGAAAACACAGACAACTACGTGGTAAACCTTGATTCCATAACAAAATTATCATTTTCAATGAAACATGTGCCTAAACGAAGCAAATCAACTACTCTGATTAATCCATTTAAAAATTCATAATCAAGAATATCTTTTCAATGTATGGACAACATATAAATGATCTGGAAAATTTACATTGCATACCCAAATATGTACTGATTTCTCTCTCCCTCTCTCTCTCCATATATGTACAAAGAAAGTGTATTCACTTGTCTTCACCCCCCGCCATGTTACTATGGCTTTGATTATGGAATCCAACTGATATTAGAATCAGGCGAATAATACATAATAACAATATTATTATCAATGTTGTTAATGCCAATAGTAGGAAAATCGATAAATCAGAAATTGCAAATTGAATAAACTGGGGGGATTTTTTTTAGTGAAAATAACGATTATTACGGTTATAGACAAACAACAATTTGAAAGTGGCGCCATTCTATTATGATATAGAAACAAGTGAATTATATACTTATATTTTTCCTTAGAAATAATTTTTATTTCAGAAGGGTTTTGTGGATATTATAGTAATTTCAATAGTTGAGATCATGAGTCAATTGAAGCTAGACCACCATGGCAATCCTATTGTGGAAGTTCAACGGAGTCTCTTGTAAGATAGTAACTCACTGAGGACAATGGTGGATGTGTCACTCAATTTCGTGGATTAGTTGAAATTAAACATTAACACCATTGCATGCTGGTTGTCTCAGCGGTCTAGTGGTTAAGTGCTCGCGCGCGAGACTAATAGATCCTGAGTTCGAATCTGACGAGGCGGGATCGTGGATGCGCACTGGTGAGGAGTCCCATACCAGGACGAAACGTCCTTCCAGTGCTTTCAGGTGTTCCATGGTGGTCTAGCTTCAGTTGACTCATGATTTCAATCAGTGAAATATTATCAGTTCATTTATTGAGGTAGTAAATCTTTATCAATTGAGGGTAGTTGTGACATGTATTAAGTATACCCGTCTACAATTTGTCACGATTGTTCATGTTTCTGATGCAAGGGTAATTAGGATGAAAGATTTGGGAGTAGCCAACCCAAAATTTGATATCAGTTCATGAAGTTGCTCGCGGTTGAACTGGACCTTTTAGGTATATATGAACCAATTAGTTGGCGTCCATGTCATCATCGTAACTAATAGTCAGATACATTAAGTGACATAACTGAGAAACGATCGTAATGTAGCAAATATATGAAATCATTATCTGCTATTAAATGTTTGGTTCCGAAGTTATTTTATACTTTTTATTCCACGAAGTTTCTCCTTCTTCACTGATACTATTTTCACTACTTTGACATTTATCTTGACAATTTAATTCCGCCCTAATAATGTGGTTTGGCAACTTGAATCGATATACATGTATGCTAGATTCTACGTTACTTATGAAGAACTAACTCACTAGCTGATATCAGTTTATGGTTTAAATGCTAAATATAAACTATACAAATTCCCTACAAATGACATCAGTTACAAAAAAAAATGTAAGTAGACCAAATGAATTTGACTCTTACCTGTCAATTACTGGTCATATTAAATAGAAACAAATGTTTATTTAGGGTTCTATTATAGAAAAAAAGTCAAGTGGATAGAGTTAAGGTGGATTGTGTTTCGTTTCATGGATGAAAACAAGTAGTAGTAAAATGTTTTTCCGCAAATAACCAACATCTTCAGCAGTATTGACTTTTAGAGTTTGAATATCGCAGAAAACCTGATTATATAATACATCACATCTTTTCTGGTTTCATGGATTTACAATGTACATAGTAAAGTGTACAAAAGCTCGAAATTAACATTCTGAAAACAAATAGTTCAAAACAAATGCACGTGAATGACATCAATCAATTAACAATTCAGGTCTGAGACTATTTGCTCGATGAAACTATCAATACTGATTCCCTTTCTTTTCATGTTTATCAAAACTGTTCATTAAGTCCGTGATGAGAACAGACGACAATGATTGATCTCTTAAATACATCCTCATCATCACTTATATTCCAGAACAGTTTTATTTTTCTATTTGTTGTATTGTTTTTATAGTCATTACATATCCTTCTTATCTCCGTTGGGTTAAATAACGTAGTGTCTTTACATCTTGGTTCCTTGAAATTAGTAGAACTTAAAAATTTTGGAAACGAATTACATTTCAGATTTTCAATATCGTGATCGCTTTAATGTGATGTAAAACAATACAGAGACAGTAAAACTTTAAACTAAATGTTTGATGTCAGTCTTATGTAATTTGTAACTAATTCATGTTTGATTCTTTTACATATTTATCAACAATGCACAAACTCTTTCTAAGTTATTATCAACCACTTTGGCGTATGAACTAGTGATGTGACAAATGATTTAGTGTTACATCCTTGATCTGTCCACCCACTTATATGCAGAGGATAACTTGTCTAAGTCTACACTAAGACCTTGACGTAATAGGCTGATGGGCTAAACCTTGAGGCTGGTATGCGTGAGTTCAAAGTGACATCAACTGCTTGGATTAAAGAGATGAAAACTATTCTATCACCTGGTTGGCTGACAAGCACGCGAGTAAGAGAAGTTAAGTCAACTGGAACACCAGTCGATTTATTCGCAATTCCCATCTGGTTTCCGATTTCAGATTAGTATAAAATGACACATGAATAAATAGATGACTAACCAGACCACAACGCACAAACAATTAGGAAAATACAATTATATCCAAAACTGGAGTTTAGCGTAAAAATTCCAGTACAGAAGATTATGTTTAAATTACCATAACTTTGGAATAGAAAAGGATATGACAGTGAATGTTGCATCAAACGAAAGCTTACGATCCATGGAATAGACTAGGTACAAAAATCAATGCTAATGTTTTACAAGCTTTGAATGAAATTAAATAATACCTCGAAAAATAGCTTCCATAGACTGTCAGGACTTCTTGTTTCCCTCTTCATATCACTTAGTCGTTTGAATTACTTACTTACTTACTTACTTACTTACTTACACTGTTACTTCTAATGGAGCATAGGCCACCAACTAGCATTCTCCAACCCACTCTGTCCTACGCCTTCCGTTACAGTTCTATCCAATTGTTGTTCATTGTTCTCATATCTGTCTTTCTGTCTCCATTTCTCAGTGTAATGTGTTCTTTGATCTTCCACTCATCCTTTGGCCTTGAGGATTCCAAGTGATGAGAGCTTGTCTTGTGACACAGTTGGGTGATTTCCTCAATGTGTATCCTATCCACTTCCAGCACTTCTTCCTGATTTCTTCTGTTTTGTTCTCTCCCATAGTAGGTTGTTGATGATATTGTCTGGTTAACGGATCTGAAGTATTTTGCGTAGACAACTTTTAATAAACACCCGTATCTTCTAAATGATGGCTTTCGTAGTTCTTCAGGTTTATTCGTTTGAATTAACTAGAGCTAAACCGTAATTGCCATACTATAATTTACACATTAATACATAACTAGTTTGTTTCTTTCCAATTCAACAGTCTATGAATTCACTAGTTTGTTTCTATTCTTCATTAATATTGCATAAAATAAGCAACTTCATGTTGTTCACTGTCAAAAAAAAACTAAACTTTACCCTGGTGAACACTACAAAATAACCATAAGGTATCCATAAATTTAACAAAGAAATCTAAGCTGAATATTATCTAGTGTATGTGTGTACATACTTGTGTGTGTGTATGTTTGTGTTTGTATATAGATTAGTTACTACTCGAATGACATGAATAATAATACTCTATTTTCATTGGTTGATTATGATACTATGTCAATAAATAACCAATGAGAAATCAACAAAATCAGCTGATATAGAAATTCCCTATGATAATGACCTTCATTTTGATTGGTTGGAAAAAAAGTTTTTATTAAATATAAACTAATTTTTATTTTCTTATTTGATATGAAATTAGTTTTAATTCCTCCTTCTTATTTACTTACCTTCTAATGAAGATTCAATATTCATTATGTATGTAATTCTTATTAAAATGATAACATAAATGTCAATATTCTATAAAATAAGATCATACCCATATAGAAATATGGATAGATATTATAATGGTATAATGTTTTTATTATAACATCATATCTCATGAGTTGTGCTGTAGATATTTATGATTTTGGATCACATTTCAAATGGATTACTCGTAATAATGTTGATATGAATGAAGAAAACAATCGTCATATAAATAATGATAATATAAATTATAATCAATTTATGGATTCAATGCGTTTTACAATTCAAGATCTTGTTCAACAAGAAAGTTGTATTGGTTCATCAAATTATCCAGTTGATAAACCATCACGTCTTGTTCAAATTGAATGTCGTAAACCAGGATGTCGTTGTGTGCTTAAAAACGAACATGCTCTAGCTATGAAAATTGTACCTGGTATAACATTAGTTCAAGCTGAATGGTTATTACCAAATTCTGTTGTTTCAAATAATGAAAAATCACGATTGAATCATACTTCTCAACATATTGTAAATAATACATCTAATAATAAGAATGCTTATAACCAGAGTTTACCAAACTTTAATCAAATTAAATCATCTTGTCCACATTCTGTTGTTCTTACTTCCTGTTGTCCATCTTGGTTCGAATTAGTACGAAGAAATGTTATTGGACCATCCGATAATGGACCTCAAATCTGTCCAGAAGTTCCTGTTTGGTCAAGTTGTAAAGCGGTTTGGCGAGCCAAACCAAAATTTTTTCTATTAAGAAAAGATACTCAGTGTTTATTCGCAACTAATACTCAGTCACTTACCATGAGTTCAACTGAACTACTTAAAAAGGATGATCGTTCCACTATAACATTAGATGCAGATAATATTGGTATTCTTCGACCTGGAACTGTATTACAACTAATTGATTGTCGACTGTGTCGTCTTGTACACAAAGAAGATCAAATTTCTTATCGGCTTTCTGCGCGTCATCGTTCAAAACCTGTTTCTATGCTTCAATGTGCAGTTGTTGGTGGTAAAGCACTAGCTGCTTTAGCTTCATCAATTACAAATTTATCTCCCCAAGATGCATTGAATTGGTTCAGTACTGGTCCTCGTTTAGTTTATTTATCTTTAGCTTCGAAATCGATAATGTGCAGTCCCGTGAAAACAACATCCACAATTAGCGTAAATAATAATTATGGTAATCATAATAAGAATTCTAGTCAAATTAAATTATCAGGCAATGAGACAGATTACAGCATTTTCGATAATGGAGTTCATAGTATCTTATCGTTACTCAGCACTTATCGACTCCCTTTAATTACACGTCCTGTAGTTGGATTACGTTCAAGTGAATGGTTTTTCATGGGAAAATGTACAAATCATTCGTTAATATCAAATCCAGACTCTGTCAATATGCATTCATTATTACAGATATTCTCATGTCATCATGGGGATCTTATATTTCTAGAACCTTTATCCGATTGCACTAAATCTGTTTATCAGAATGAATCATCAAATGAAACAATTAAAAGTCGATTTTTTGTAGTTACCACTGATATGTTATTACATCATAATTTCTTAGTTGCAGACTCACAAACATGTCAAGCATATCAACAACAACTTGAAATACATGCATTTAGAGTATCACACTTTCTAGCTGCATGTCATCCTGTTCAAGGTTTAACATATATTTTAAAACATTTAGAAGATATTACACATTCATCAAATACTGGACCATCATATATTCCATTAACTAGAACACTTGGACCAATTACTAATCGTTTCAATACTATTGCTATTCAATCGGCTATTTCAAGTATAGCTGCAATTGCTTCTTTAACTATGCATGAAGAATCTAATGATATACCAAATGATCCGTATCAGTTGAATGAAATCCAACCGAAAATATTAAATTATTTAACATTACATAATAATAATAATACTGTCTCTACTACCACTACAACTACTACTAATTATCATAATAGTAGTAATTATAATTCCATGCATACATCATCAATCGATATTAATGATTCTTATCATTCCGCTAATTGTTTAATCAATACTACTAATTTACATACTCAATCTAGTTTATCATCATCATTATTTGCTAGTGAAGTTGATGAAATGAATGCATTATGCGATGAAATTGAAGATATTTATTTTTATGTACGTAATGGACATTTTCCAATGCAATCTCATTCATTATCTTCTTTAGTACATCATAGTCAACATCATCATCGTCATCATTATGAAAAGAGAAATACATATTTGAATAATAATTCATCAGCGCCAATATCTCCACGTTTAAATAAATTAATGAATAATACTAATATGACTAATCAATATATATCGAATAAAATAATCAATAATCAATCATTAATCAATGAACATACCATAGAAACTAATAATACAATGGAAAATAATAAAAAATATTATAAAAATTTAGAGGATAATTATTATCAATTAAGTAATATTCCAGTGAAAATTACTAGTAAAGCACCAGTTTTATTGATTCGTCCTAAACCATGTCATGATTATCATCATCATCATCATTATCATCATCATCATCATCAAATAGATGAGAATGAAAGAAAGGGGATTACTCAGTTAACTTATACAACTAATCAACATAATAATTGTCATACTGCTACTACTACTATTACTGATACTACTATCACTACTACTACTACTAGCACTACTACTGATAATAATAATAATAGTAATAGTAATAATAATAATCAAAAGTCAAGTTATTTCAATGTATATGATATGAGTTATGGTAATTATTCGTTTACTGAAACACCCATTACAACGAAATCATGTCATCAATCCATTCAATCATTATCATCAACTATAAATGATCATATAATTAAACCTAGTCAAATTGTAGATAGTAAACCATATGTCTTGTCACATACTTTCACCCCAATTACTACTATTGATAATAATAATAATAGTACTTGTCGAAATGGTAGTTCAATGGCATTTACTCCTTTGTTATATTCTTCAACTTCTTGTAATTATCCTAATAATGAAAGTTTCCCTCATTTTACAACAACATATGAACGTGGACGTGTTAATTTCACTGTACCATCATTGTTACAAGCGAATACAACGATAACAACTGGATATTATTCCACTCAAAATATTACGAAATTGAATAGTGATAATAATAATAATAATAATACTATTTCATGTACATATTTAGTTAGTCAATCTGTTCAACAACCATCATATTCTGGTATGTTTTCATCTTATTGTTCATATCTACCTGGATTAACAACAACATCTTGTTCTAATATGATGAATCGTTCATCGAAGCCATTGGTTACGACATCAGCATTGAATATATCATCATCTAAACATAATTGTATATATGATAGAAATGATAATAAAATAGAAGAATGTATTTATGATGAACCAAAGGAAGAATATTATTCAATATCAACACCATTGAAACAACAACAACAATGCAAGACTACTTGTAGTAATAATAATAATATGAATACAGACGTATTAAATAATTCAACATATGATTATGGATATAATTTGTCTTCATCGAATCATCACAGTAAACGTCATCTTAGTTTATCCTCATCTCACATTCATCCGTCTATCAGTCGTGAAAGTAATAACTCTTTGGGAAATGTTTGGACTTCCTCGTTTTCTGTCAATAATAATAATAATAATAACAATAAAACCAGTGTTTCCACTACTACGAATATCAGTAAAAGTAGTACTAACTTCCGGTCGATTAGTAATATGTTCAACGACAAAATGACTACTGCAGTGAATTGTATACAAATTATTCCATCCATCAGTATTCCATCAAATGTTATTCCTCATTCAACGATCACTAGTGCTACTACTACAACTACTATTAGTAAAAATAATAACAATGTAGGTTATTATTTCACATCACAAGATCAACCTTCTTCTATGACAGCAAGTTTTCGTCATCAATCTGCACAAAATTCCTCCTCATCAATACAACCACCACCACCTATGCCACTGTTATATCCGTCACCAGTAACAACGAGTCAAACATCTCGACTGTATCAGTCCACTATAATATCTCCATCCATTGACAGGAAACAAATCACTGCACGACCATCGTATAAACATGTGACTTCAACTACAAATTTAGATTTCGGTATGCATCATAATCATTCAACAATTCCTTCACCATTATCCACTATGTTGTTATTACAGTCGCCTAAACTTAAACGTACTGAATTAACTAATTCATCACCAGACACAGGGATCGGTATAGAAAGTACATATGATCAGCAAACTACTCCTTGTACAGGTGGATCTTTTATGCCTTTAAATGCATATCATCATTCATTGTCTTCATCAAATATGGCTGTTTGGTTACCATCTGAACAACATTGTCAACAGTGTAATCGAGAAGATTCTATTACTAAACCTTCTACAATTAATAATCGCAATATCAGTTATCATAATAGTCCAGATAAACATTTCACTTCATGCAAATTAACAACTTTTCCTGTACAAAACAATCATTTGATGAATTCCACTATGCACATTACGAATACTACTAATAATCATAATAGTAATAGAAATCAACAATATGCTTATCAATTTTAAATGAATTACAACTAGTAAGCTCAGTCATTTGTCTTCCGAATAGGATTTGTTCAATATCTTTATATATTGACGGATAACCTTATTAGATGTAGAATATATATATTTGTATATGTTGATTTCCGGTTTGTTGGCATACCTTCCTTCATTTCAGTACTATGAGAAACATGTATACATACACATATACATAATCCATACAGATATCAGGTGTTTGTATAGTCTGTTGTTCTGTTTATTTCAAGACAGTTCCTTTTTTCAAACATACTCATTCTATTTGAGTAGTATACCTATTTTATTAATGTACTTCTTTAACTCTCTACCCACCCCTCTCACTTATTATTGCCTTTATTTAATCAATTTTATTGCTATGCTTACAATTTAGTTACCATGTCACTATCAATAGTAAACATTATTTATTGCTAATTATTAAAAAAAAAACAACTATACTAACATCAATGGCATAGCCTTATGATGAGCCATTGCATATCTTTCTACCTTATAGTTTTATCGTTTCATTATGATCCTTATGGTTAAAATACCAGCAAATTTTTGATCGACTAATGAAGATTCAGATCTTTTTTTTTTCTAAAAAAAACCTTGTTCATATGTATATGTATATGTATATGAACGAGTAAAGGGACACAAAACATACATGAATACATTTTCCCATAGATATAGACAGAAATGAAACATTAATAATAACTCATGGAGTTAGTTGCCTTGTATTTATTTCCACCTATTATTCCATACAGATATTTTACAGCTATGATCACTATTGACAAAAGGAATAGTAGTGTAATGAATGCTTTTGTTGCCTTGTTTCTTCTCATTTTTGGTCTTCGTTCTCTTTTGTTTTTGTTATTATCATTACTTTGTGTGTGTGTGTGTGTGTGTGTGAGGCGGTCAATATTACAAATGGAAGTAGTATTGAAGATATGTTTTTAAGAAATATATTTATGCTTATAAAATACAATGCCATTTTTAATTACGGACTAAAAGAAGTACTATATGTCTGTCTGTCTGTCTACCAGGGAAGTCTCACTCACTGCCTCCTCATAGTGGGGGTGTTGTTTACGGAAATGAGAGGACGAAAAGCGAATGTCCGGTGCTTTAACCGGGTTGGTGGTTATGGAAAGTCCACCTAGGGGAGTTGGAAAACCCTGATTCCAAACCAATGGTGTACATGGGCTCCAATATCCTCAAGGAACAAACGGCGTATGAACCAATCGTTGGTCACCGGCTACCGTGGGACTGTATCTCCTCACGATGTTCCATTGCCTTGTGGGTTTAGACCTTTAGGTCAAAGGCTTGGGGTGTGGTCCCCTAAGAAAACCATCTACTTCGATTTGGTCACTCGAGGTGTGTAACAGCCCTCACACAAATCTAATGAGATTTGTGTGGCGCATATGTATCCACTGCCCCCTTGTACCAAATTCTATGTGTTCAAATAAATAAATAAAATAAAGCCAAATAGGTTAATTGAAGAGCTTCATAAATTTGAACATACGTAAGCTCGTATGAAGATGAGAGTTCTGTCGTGGCCAGTAACTCAATCATTATATAATGCTGTTTCATTAAGTGAATAACTGTTGACTGGAGTTAGGCAGTTTAGTAGGTTGTATAAAATTGAACCAGTCATTAAGTGAAGAATCTCAATTTCAAGTTCTACTGTCAGTAATGGAAGTTAATCAATCAATATGATAGTAAGAGAAAATGTATCAACAGAGAAGAATTTCAGCAAAGATGGATATTGGTTAGTGGTGGAATCCAGAACGCTAATTTCGTTCTATTTGGAACTCGTCAACCGGATGTACCTGCTTCCCAAAGTTGATGTTCATTCTGGGTTCGAGTCCTTCGTAGACTTTACTATCCACATTTTTGGGGACGTTAGATCCCCAAAACTCATATTTTGTAATTTTATCTTTGTAGAGCTTGTATGCAGATGTATGCTTGGGCATTTCTTACCACCCACGCAATTAGTCGATCGACGAACTTATCGACTAAATGTTTAAAACTTCCATGGCAATATCAATTATATATATTTTGTATAAATACGCTTGATTTGTGTGCTTGATGGACCTGGTATCTTCTGGTTGTCTGTAGAATACACTTTCTGCATCTTACCAAGACTTCTGGATCAAGTTAGCTGAGTCGACAACAACGAACCAGCACAGCCTATCGAGTCTCTGAATCGTTGATTCTTCGTTCCGTTCCGAATAAGACGAACCAGTAGTAGCATTCAAGTTTAACGAACATAACAATCTTTGCTTAAAAAAGCTTGTGACTTAAGGCAATATCGAGGCATTCCGCACAGGATGCACATATGCCAACAAGAGACTGATCAATCTCAGTCCTAAATAACAATGAGAAGATACAAGTAAAACAAAACCAAGTGAATTTAGAGAAGAATTTGATTTCCATTATTTTTTTTCAGAACTGAAATCGATTTTGAACAGTCCCAAATGAAGTTATTGTTGTGACTTTTGCCCATTGAATGTCACATGACTTATTCTTTAATCCGAATTCGAATCATACAATTTTAGTACTGTGCCAAAACAATGACGTTTGACTGATATGAGCGGCTTAACGCCCTTATTGACCCCTTTTCTGACTAGTTCTGCCCGTCCAGTTCATATCACTGATACCATATTAAGATATATGATGTATTAGTAGACAAGGTCCTGTCTCTATTATCATATCTTCGAGGTTTCGCAAAAACTTGTCATCTTGATGCAGAAATATATTCAAATGAAATTGAGTATTGCTGGGGTTGTTTGGGCACTCATCATATCCTGGTTGCCATTTTTTATTTCGAGCAGTCTGAAAATGAAATTGGGTGATAAGTGGTTTCTCAACTTGGAAGTGTAACAGTAATGTTTAAAATACAGCTATTTGAAATCGATCATAGACAACCGCTTTGTAATTAGCTTTTAGTGTATTACCGCCATTCTTTTCGAAATTTATCAATTGTGATGTATTTTTTAAAGTGGATGTTTTCTTGTCGCTCTTTTGTTGTTGAAATGAGCTATCTCTGGAAGTTTTGGTTATTCACGTTAAAACTCTTACTCCTATTACACTCTATTGAGGGTAATGGTATAAATTTTTTCTCAGTCGGACCTTAAGTTTATTCATGTTTGTTTAACTACTCTCTGACCAGCCTACTTGACAAGCGTATCCTTCTTTTTAAATAATTAGTATCTATGGAAAAGTTGTTTGGATGACTTGTTGTAGTTTGAAACGATATAAATGCATCTAGTAGATGAATCCCAAATCAAATGAAACATGTTTCTTACATTCCAATACTAGTCATTGCTCAATACGATAGAAGAGGTGCGAAATATAGAAAGAAGGCTTTTCTGCAAGGTTCGTTTTCGTACAGAAAATCTAGGGTATTTGTAACATTTTAGATGGCCTTGGGCTTCTGAGAAATTCTCGAACATTACCAAACATAGTAACAGTATAAGTAACCATCCAATCAGAAATTTGACATATAGCTTTTCACTTTTTAGATGTTTCTGGTAAAACTTCTATTCAATGCTGATTGGATAAGATGTTTCTCAGCGTTTTTAGATCCCTTTTCGGATTTTTTTCGAGGAATTTTCTGGGTTTCCACAACAGCTAGAATAAAGTTGTATTCGTTATTACTATAAAAAAAATAGTTGAGAAAAGAAACAAGTAATGGGATAAGCAAATAACATATTGAAATATTTATCTGTAGTATTTATATGAACTTTTTATAACTTGTAGCCTGTGTGCTCTGTTAATGTATACGTAATGATACCGCCAATTAGAGAACAGTAATTTATCGATCGGACCAATGACGCAAAAAACATGTACAAGCAGTCTAGAGTCCTTATCAGTCCTGCTTCCTGCGTAGCTCAGCCATTTAAGTCCAGAACACCAATCTCAGCCTCTGCAATATGAATTACGTATTTCAAACATACTGGGTTTATATACCAATCAGACAGACCACATCATACCATAAAATAGAAAATAACATTTGTACAAAATTTGGCCAAATGTGGCTGTGAATATGTGAGGCAGTGATTAATAGACAGGGCATAATCGAAGAATGGTAAAGCGTATAATAATAGTTCATAGGTCAAAATAAGGCTCATAAGAAGAAGGACATGAATATGAATAGTTTAGTTATTTATCGGTTATACGATAAAATATACGTATAGTATTGATCCATAAATGGATCCCAAAAGTTACCATTCATTATGCTTATTGGGGTATAACAGAACTAATGATTCTTTTGTACTCGACTACTCGCTCATTACAAATTCCAAATATAATATATTCAATTGTGCTCATGTAGTTCTATTTTCTGTAAAATTGCACTATTTCGGGAATCCCCAGTTAGTACAATAATTCGAATACTTCTAATTATCTTATTAACACATACTAGAATTTATTTATACGTGATTACGTAAGTAATTGATAATCTTGATAGGTCCTGGGTTCAAATCTCGTGAGGCGGGATCGTGGATTCGCACTGATAAAGAGTCCCATAATAGGACAAAACGGCCGTCCAATGCTTCCAGGTTTTCCATGGTGGTCTAGCTTTAGTAGATTCATGATCTCAACTATCGAAATTACTATAATATCTACAAAACCCCTTCTAATAATGATCAACATATGCTCACTAGTGACTAACTTCAAGAGGTATATCCTGGAGTTCTAGTGAGAAGCAGTAACCAGGGGAGTTCAACTGAGCCTGTTGTGAGATAGTAACTCCCTGATGACAATAGTGGATGTGTCACTTAATTTCGTGGATCGGTTGAAATTAGACATTAACACCGCTGGATGCCGGCTGGCTCAGTGGTCTAGTGGTTAAGCGCTCGCGAGCGAGACTGATATGTCCTGTGTTTGAATCTCACGAGACGGGATCGTGGATGTGCACTGCTGAGTAGTCCCAAAATAAGACGAAACGGTCGTCTAGTGCTTTCAGGTTTTCTATAGTAGTCTAGCTTCAATTGATTTATGATCTCAACTATTGATATTATATTTTATTGACTCATTTAATGAATAATCTATTATGTCTGATAAATGAATGAATGAATTTATAAAGAAGATGAAAATGAGAAAACTTACATTCTAGAAAATAAAAACCCACACAAATCAATTCTATCATCAAATTCACATTTATTCTATGAATGTACCGAGTGGGCGCATATAAGTGATGATCGATTTGTATACCACATGTATATGTATATATCTATGATTATGTATGCGTGGATAATCGCACATATTTGGTAATTTATGTTTACATAGCGCATTGAATCTCATGTGTTCATCTCGTTTATTACTAAGTATCAGTTTCTCGTATGAAATTCTGTTCTGTTTTTCTTTCTGAAATTTGATTTGGTAGAAAAATGTTTGACTATTACCATTCATAAAGTATTAATGATATAGATCGTTACAGTTCCGACTGCCATACAAAAATAATGGGATTTTGTCTTGTGAAAGATACATTATGTAATGGTGTTTGGTTTAAATCTTTGAATCTAAACCATTCACTAGTTATGTATTTATTGTTAAGATATATTTCCGATTTTGAAGGTTGATGTTTTCTGTGAGACTCGAACACTCATCATCTAAATTGATGTAGTCGGAGATGTTACTAATGTGGTATTTAAGTTACTTAGTTAGTGATTAGTACCATTCTTACCTTGTCCTATTTGGTGCTGATCACATTTGGTCTAGCAAGCTGTACAGTTAGGATCTTGTGAAACTATTTTGTAATGATCTATGTCGATAAATTTCATGTCAGAACTCATGCATAACTAAAATGAAACTGTTATTACCAGTGAGATTGAATATTCACCTCACTAAATCGAAATTTCGTCAAAGTTGGAATGATACAGTTGGAAACCTACCCTATTGTTCTAATGTTTAGACATCAGCCGTGAGAATGAAAGATCCTGGGCTCGATTCTTAACTGAGTTGTGAATGCCTATTATGGATGAACACCATGCGACTATGAATCGCTTTCAATTCAGAAGATTGGACTTATAGTCAGAGCATTTTAAAGAACAGTTCAGTTGACATTCAGCAACATTCCAGTTACCCACTATCTTCAGGCAACCTGAATGGCAGTTTGATGTAAGTCCTGCAATACTTAGTGTGGTTGAAAAGCCTGTAAGTAATATAAAGCCAGGACAAGCACCAGGGTCTAATATACTAGCCTCTGAGATTTTCAAGGATGGTGGCCCAGTTCCAACAGTTAGATTGGATTAAATCCCAACTAAAATCTGGGAACTGGATGTAGTCCCATTTGACCAGTCTCGATCGCTGATCGCCCCAGTCTGTAAGAAAGGACAAAACTCCTCTTGTGAAAATCGCAGAGGAATCAGTTTGACTAATATGGTGTCCTAAATATTCGCCTTTATAACAGTTCAACGTCTAACTAGAGTTTACTAAAGGCGAACCCGATAAAACCAGGCTGGTTTCAGACGTGAGCGTGGATATATAAACCAAATGTTCACTTTTCGGCAGATTCTAGGACATAGACATACTTTTCGACGTCCAACTATAGTTGTATCCCTCGACCTTGGGGTGGCGTTCGTTTCTGCTGGCCTTGAGGCTCTTTGACAGTATCTGTCATTGAAAGGCACAACAAAGAAATACATTACTCCTGTCCAGACTCCGTACTCGAACAGTAATGTTCGAGTCAGTGCTTATGTCGAACTGTCATCGGAGTTGTTTACTTCAAATGGTTTTCGTCATGGTTTTCCGCCTTACCCATTCTTATTCAAATGTCATAGACATGCTTTAAGAGACAACGCCTTCATCGTCTGACTTTTAAGAGACTGATCTTCTCCCAGAAGATTCACTTGTTAACTTTGAATACGCAGATGATATAATAATGTTTGGTGAAGACGCTGACAAAACTCATAGTCTTCTAACCACTTTAAGTGACAATGTAAGGATGTTTGTGATATGGTTTCTACCTCCAAATACAGAATGTTACTTCAGGATCGGCTCGCATCATTGCCCGAATTGATGATAGGGAGTGAAGTAGTTGAACATATAGTCCGCTTTACTTGTCATGATTATTTGGTGTCTAATGAAACCTGGGCAAGGATACATGAGACTCGATCGACTTTTTTTATTGTGAGTCAACGTAGACGTAGGTGATGTATCTGTCCTTTAGCCAAAGGATGATTTTATTGCGCATCAGTTCACTCCATTCTACTCTATGGATGTGCAATACGGCCATTAGGATTTTTGGATAGTCGTAGGTTACTGGTTTTCGATCATAGGTGTCTAGGAAGAATTGGTCGTGTATTTTTGGACCATGAATTAAGCAATCCCTGGGTTAGGAATACAGTACTAGGTAAATATGGTAAATTGATCAATGATGTAGTAAATCTTTATCAACTGAAATGGTTGGGACATGTGTTACGAATGTCCATCCCCCGCCTACCTCGACGAGTGATGTTGTATGGTGTAGGAATAGGCTGGAAGAAAGCTAGTGGCGGCTAAACCAAAACATCGCATTATTCTATGAAGTCACTGATAAATGGACTGAGCTATGTTAATATGTGCTGACTATCTGGCTGAGGTCCGTGTAATTGTCGTAACCAATGCTTAAGGACTTTGAGTAATATGGTTCAAAATCGTTTTAAATAGGCTAGTATGTCTATGCTCTGTCTTCCTCTAAATCCTTTGATTCCCAATTACCCACAACATTTTCATTTCTCTAATTTATATCTCCATTTCGGGTCATATCTTCAATGTCTAATCTTCCTTATTCCTACTGATACTGTTACTACCTCTACTATTCTAGGATTTGGCCTGATAACTTTATTTCTCTGTGCTAATGGGGAACGGAAACTTGAGCCGATGTTCTGAGTGTTTATCTAGCTTTAAATCGCACAAAATCATTATCTAATTAAATAAAATATTGTCAATGTATTTTCATTCAATATCTGAATATAACACATGATCTCTAATAATTATCCCTTGATTTTATACTACTAAATTCAATAGTTAGTAGTTTGCGATAATTGAAACAAATATACAAAGCAGGGTAGTCACATCACTAATGAAGACATAATTTTGTATAGTTTTAAAATTTTACTCTTTGATGAAACAAATTAGTCAAGTTAGACTTAGTTAGTTTAGGGCTTGAAGGATAAATCCTGAAGTATGAAAAGTTGAGAATAAAAGAAAATCATTTTGTGTGGAATGTTACATTTATCAGTAACGACGTATACATTTGTGCATAAAGTTCTGTTTTCATGTTCAATTTAAAGTAGTTGGAGAAGTTTTTGAATATTCATTGTTAAAGTATAGGGTTACCTTAATTTATTATACACATATAACACTAAACCAAGATACACAGAATGGAATGACATATTATATTTCATCATCACTGGTCTGAGAACACTTTTAGATCATTTAACAAGATAAATATTCTATAATGATGATGCTTTCATAAAAGATTAAATGGAAGCATCTTTATAGACGCATAAAGGACCCAATGATTTTCACATATCTCTTTAGCTTATCGTTCCTTATTGATACTAAATTGATACATTCCATGAACTTTCTAATGACGAAAATATTTTTCTCTCCCTATATTCATAAAGAACTGATCTTAGTAACGTATACTGACAACACAACAGTGAATAAC